GAATGTGTCAAGTGCTTGACAGTCACGTGTGGTCAGCGGAGATCCTACCAGACAGTTCACAAAGAAGGGAATTTTTATTGTTAGAGAAAGATCTATCTTATAACAATCTGTTGTGGGATAGAAGGTAGCTGAAGAAAATGCACACAGCCTTAACACCTGGAATTGACAAGGTTGGCGTGACATATTTGCTGAATTTAATAAACACATAGTTTAACAAAACTTGCTGGGTTTTCTTTTCCCTTTGTGTTTTGTTTGTCTGCACCAACTATGGGCTTGGCATTATCCCATGTGAAGAAGACCCAATAGTGCTAAGCCTTCAAGTCTATTGGGGCCAAAACAAAGGAATCCAGAACAATAAAATTACAAACAAAAATTCAAAACAAAGAAAGCTTATAAATTCATGCATAACATAGTTAAATGTGCAAGGAAGAACCACTAAGGAATGACATGGATCACTGTTGAGTAAAACCTGGGAAAGGGACAGAGTGAATTTAAATGAAACTAGGAATAAGGTTAAGGGCAGATGCTGACAGGCCTTGAATTTCATGCTAAGAAGCTTCAACTTAATGCAATAGAAAACTAGTGACCCATTTAAGAATTTTAAGCAGGGAAGCTAACTTGATCCAATTTGTGCTTCCCAGGGACCATGCCAGCAGTGTGGTGGGGGATGGACCTGAGAGAGATGCTCTTGACAAACATATCAGCAAGGGCATGCTTGCTGACCAGGACAACTGGACTAGAGAAGCAGTGTCTCCATCTGGGGCTGATCTGCAAATCAAGGGACAATGCAGGTGACAAAATGGACAAGAGAGGTGAGATGGGAAAGGATACTTGCAAGAAGTCTGCGGTAGCCAGGGAGTGTCTCCCACAGATTTTGTTACAGAGCCCCGATTCTCACTGCAGGAACTGCATTATGGGTGATTAATTCATGGCCAAGTTACTTTCTTATGAAGGTTACCACAGATACATCAGCATGACAGGTGGGGCGTGGGGGAAGAAGGCTCAGCGTGTTCAAGTCAGAGCTGAATATTAGATTCCAGTCACTATTTGATTGATCTTTTAAGCAATTCTGGGATTCTGTCACTTAAAAACCAATAAATCTTTGAAGGCCCGAGGAGAGCAATACAAAAGCAATAAATCTCCATTGTGGAGTATTTGAAAAATAGGCCAAGTTGCCGAGGTGGTTTGGCGAGGGTGAGGGTACAGGAACCTCATGCAGTCGGCTCCTCAGTGTTCTCCTCCTCACTCTGAATTCTCAGCCCTACTAGGAGTCAAACTTGGGAGGCTTCCAAAGAGTGGGAGGCTGGAATTTGGCTCTGTCAGCGGTTAAGCACTGTGGGTTGGAGGAAGAAAAGACTGCTCAGAGACCTAGGGGCCAAGGCTTAGGTATGAATCTGAGAATCAAGTAGTTAAATACACAGAAGGCTCAGGCTGGGCCCATACAATCCAGAGTTAGAGGATCCTCCCTCCCAAAAATGTCATCCCCCAGCTGGCAAAATGTTTGACTATACAGCATCCTCTCAAAAGTCCTTCCAGATTCCCTGGACACAGTAGAAGTGGAAGACGGAACAAGTGGGGCAGCAATGACCTCAGAGCCTGTCCTATGTTCAACTAGTAGATAGTTAACACAAGTTGTCAACCCGACAGGATCTAGAATGAGCAGACGACAATTCTCTGCCTCTGGAGGGGGTTTCTATAAGGCATTAATTAATTGAGGTGTAAAGACATCCTCAATGTGGGCGGCCAGTTCCACAGGGTGTGGTCTTGGGTTGAGTGAAGAGAAGAAAGTGAAACGGGTAAGAGAATCACTCACTGCTTCCTGCCTGAGGATACAATGTAACCCCGGTCAGTCTCTTGCAGCCATGACCTTCCTGCCATGCCAGACCATACCCTGGAACTGTGACCCCAAGGAAACTCCTCCTCCTTTGAATTGTTTTGGTTGGTGTTGTGTCACAGCCGTGGTAAGATGAACCAAACAATTGGTTTTCCCTGCCAGGACCTGGAACCTCTCATTTAACATCGCAGATATCAATTTCTCTCTGAAACATAGATACTATTTCTCAACTAATTCATCCACAAGAATACTTAGAGCCAGACCATGCAACAGAAGTAAAAATATTATCAATAGTAATGTTTTAAACATTTATATTTGTTGATTTATATTTGCGGGGGGGGGGGAACGACGTGTAAGTTTAAGGATTGGAGGACAACTTGCATGCATCAGGTCTTTTCTTCCACCACGTGGGTCCCAGGAATTGAATTCATAGCATTGGGTTTGGTGGCAAGCACTTTTACCTGCTGAGCCATCTTGCCAGACCAAATATTTCCTTAAACATGGTTAATTTTAAACTGACATATATTATCTGTATTTACTGAACACAAGTAATAATTTGATATCTGAAAATACCATATATCATGAGTGATTTAGGATAACTGGGCTCCTGAAACATCATTTCTGTGTTGGGAACACTTACCTTTTTCTATCTATGTGGAACATGTTACAAGCTGCTGCTGCCTGCTACATTTACCATCCCATGCTCTCAGGTAGTAGGACACCTTCTCTACTTTAAAATATAATTCAAGGCATCTCTGACCAGATGCCTGAAGCAAGCCCTTGGGTCTCCGAAGATCCAGGTCACTTTTCCGACCTGCTCCCGATTCCCGGTGGACAGGGCAGCTCGGTGCCAGCCTGCCCACACGAGCTCACCTCTCCATCCTTCCCACAGTTCCTCTCGGTCTAGAAAGTCGGCTCACCCCAACCATCTACTTGTTTGGTGACTTCATTTGTCTACTTCTTTGCTTGTTGTCTCACCTCCCGATCTGTTCTTTGACACACTTGCGAGGTGATGAGCCTCACTCAAGAAGGCAGAGAGAGCTTTTCTTGCTTCATGCTACACCCAGATTGCTGAGCTCACTGCCTGGTCCATAGCAAATGTTCAATAAAGATTTGCTGTGTCCAGCTGCCTCCAAGATGCACACCCTCATGACCGGGCTCGTGCCCGGGTAAGAATAGAGTTACTGCAACTAAAATATATAGCAGTGCTTCTGCTCTCGTGGCAGTTGTCCTGAAAGGCCCCCTCTTTGTCGTTGCTTAGGCTCCTCCCCTTGGCAAATGCCCAAGCTCTGGTTTGAAAATAATTCCAGAGACAGAGGGTACACCCACTCTCAGTGAACCGGGGCCTTGGGAAGGAAGGCAGCCAGAGATTTCTAGACACCAACCATTTCCCCTTTGAGCAGTGACATTTCCTTTAATTTTTTTAAGATGGAAATGTCAGCACACTATGTCATGCATACCATCCTCCTAGCAAGATGGCGTGGTTCACTAAAATGAATGTGAAACGAGGGTCAGAACCGGGCTTCCATCTTATCTTGCCTGGCCCACTGGTTTCAGGGTCTAAGTCGTCTCATTAGCTTCTGTTTGTGTTTCCATATCTTCAAACTGGGCTGTGTGGGGGTGGGGGGAGCTTTAGAGGACCTTTACTTCGTTTCTGCATCTCAGCTTCCGCCTCTGAAAAGGAGGACACCATCTCACAGTATATATGGAAAATTAAATGAGGATGCTGTATCAGAGCGGCTGGAGGGAAAGCAGGGAATGAGTACCTTGGCTTGAAATGCCAGCATCTTCTTTGGATTATCAGAAGAAGGACAGTTCTGACATCCTATAGTAAGAGGCCCATGAGCATCATCCCAACCTGCTGCAGGGCTGTATCCCCTGAGCCCAGTAAAAAGGGCCATCACCCAGCTTCAGATCAGGTGAGAACTTCTGCATTTTTGTTGGTTCGTTCTGTTGGTCCCACCACTATAATTTCTGGATAGAGTTGAATGAGGGTTGAAAACGAAGACCGGGACTATGTATCTCCAGAGCCTCCTTCTAGACTGGCCTCCCAGCCCCCAGAGAAAACAAGGGGATGCTGCTAAAAGTCAGTCCCTGCCTCTCAGACCCACCGATTCCCTTTCCATTTCTTCCTCTGCCCCTGCTCCTTAGGTTAAAGCAAACTTAACTAAGCATGATTGCTTCCTTTTTTTTTTTTTTAAATAAGTCATCCTGGTTCATACTGGACACTTATAAGAAGTCAAACCTTATACAACCAAGTGTCACCTTCTTTGAGAGTTTTCTCCGAGTGCTTCTAAGCTGCTGTGAAGATTCCCATAAGACTGCACAACATTGTACCTATGCCATGTATCTGTTTCTTTAACTACAGGCTGGTTTCCTTTGAACATAACACCAGTTGATACCAAAGGCCAAGCACTTAAACTAACAAAGACATGTGCTCAATGAATCATTGTCTCCAGTCCCCACATCCCATCCATTGTGTAGAAGAAATCTGGTACGTGCTTGGTGGATCGAACTGAGCCAATCTGGAAGTTCTGCCTAACATTCTACTCATTTCAATGGACTGAGGTCCTGAGACACGGAGTTCTGAGCAAAACCAGCGGTCAATTTTGTTGCCTTGTGCAAAGGGGATATTGTTGAAAATAAATGCCAGCCCATCCTGATAGTTAGGTACTTTCACAAGTCAACAAGTTAATGAGATGTTCTTGGGTCCCAACAAATTCTCATTAAAAAAAAATAATAATTAGTACGATCCTGAAGGCATAGCCCCGTGGGACTTTTAACACCTCATATCTCTGGACTGAACCAGCCTCTGGTCTCATATTTGAACTATGTGATCAGATTATCTGGAGAACATATCTGTCTGTGTGCTATGGCAGTGAGATGGGTGTCTTGCAAAGATTCCTGTATCTAGGTTTTCCACCCACAATTACCCTTACCACTTCAGGTCCCTACCAGGGTGTTCACTCTGAATGGATGCTCACTGTGGGGAAAGAAGACACTGGCTCAGCTTCTGCCTCTGAATTGGGCTTAGAGTTGCTGACCAATCTTCCTTGTGGAAAATCTGGCTTCTGGCTTATCTCATCCAGGCACACTGCCAGTCATGTGATTCACCTGGAGATGCGTGAGGCATAGCAGAAGAAAGCCACAAAGGATAGCTCCTCACCTGACAGGGGCTCCCCGAGACTGGGCAGGTTTGAGCATCACTGTGATGGTCGTTTCTGTTTCATTAAGTGGTGTATCTGCATCGTATTCAGGCATCGACGGAGCTGGGCAAGAGAGAGAAATTGGACTTGAGGACTTCATATACCAAATGCCTCTCAACATGCCCCCTTGATCTCAGCCTGGCTGAACAGAGGTAGAGGGTGAGAACCATGTGGGGTCAGAGGCCTTCGGCATGGGGGGCCTTGACATCCCACCTGCAGCTTCTCTCCAGATGCAACAGTCTGAAGGGGTGTTAGGCATGAGCATCATCAACAAGCGCCTCTCCCATGCAGGAAAAAGGAATGCGCAGGATATAT